GTCCACTCTGTTCTCTCACTTCCATGCTTCCAGCTTCTTGGTGCTGAATTTAATGCTGTTCAATGTCCACTTGCCATGGTCGAGAAAGGCTCGTTTTGTTGGTCGGCAAGAAGAGGAATGGCTGTGAGACCAGTTAGGATGGTTGTGGTCTGTCAAAGCATGCGCGACTGCCTGCCTCACCGGATTTCGACGTGCGAATGCGAGGTGCTTTGGATGGTGAATACGGTCGATACATCTACATGCAGTTCAAGCACTGAATGACGTAGCCCGACGCACCGAAATAACCGTCAGTCTGTCAAGAATGACTGCAAGGGTGTCAAAAGTATCTCGTTTTGGTGTGCCACAAATGCCCACTGCATGACTCGAGGCAGAGCGTTTAGCAGCGAGGCCATCCACCGAGTCGAGGTGAGATTTCTTGGCGTGACTTGAATTCACACCCGATTTTCCCTTCAAGCTCTACTCGTGAAAATGCCCGATTCCTCATTTGATGTTCCCACACTGAACTGAGGGATTTCCCACGCAATGTCTGGAGCAAGGCTCGAAAACGACCCCATCATGGCAGGTACTTTGAACTGCTGTCCTCCTCCACTGACGCGTTCGAGGGAATCGCTGCGTGCCTTTCCCATACTACTGATTATTGGCGTGCAGTAGTACACAACGCGCATTTCCTTACTGTGCTGAAACGGCAGCCGAGTAACGCGGCTCACATCTGGCGTTCACCCTGCCCGAGACAAAGACAACGATTGTTTGCCGCGTATCCAATCCGAACGCACATGAACTGCGCACTCACCCGTTAACCAATCACCAACAAATGTGTGCATGCAAGCTGCTTTAATTGGTGGAACACAGTGGATTTATCAAGCAATGATTCATTTTTCGAATTCAAATGCCACGAACCGTCGAAAATGCATCATTTTGTTGTCCATTTTGATAACAGACCTGCGCACAACCTAATTTTGCTATTCTAGTGGCTCGCCGGTCGGTATTAATGAGCATAGTCACGCCAGAACTCAGTTTACACACGCTACTCACAATCTCTGCGATCACCTATTTACTAACACATACACTACAATTCAGCACGACCAGAAACAGTCAAAGGTTGTGTTCCCTCGCTGTTTACTTGTTTTTAGCTTAAAACCGAATGCGTCTCAATGGTTGCTATGGGGATAAGGTAATTTATTTCCGGCATTCTATTTACGATTTCTCTAACTTGCACCCTAGCACATCGAAATGTGGTTCAATCAACCATCCGATACATGCACCCCTTTCTAGGCATAAAAAGTGCCTCTTTACATAATCCAAAATGTATTTCAACTAATTCAACGGATTTTGCCAAAATTACAGTGCTACAGTTCGAGGGTACTGTGGCGACGTCTGAGAGCGCAGACATATTAGACTACGCTGGTCTCAGCCAATCCTGTGTCCCTCTGCATTCCAATGGCATGTGGGGAAGGAAGGCAGCCAACCAGATACAGACGAGAATGAGGAGCAGTATGTAATGAGCGGCGTGGCCTGTGATGGACTCGCACGGACGGCGCCTGACGTGTGGTTCTGGATTCTGATTGGTCAATAAAGCCTGTTCTGTTGTACTGGTCTTCTTCCTATTAGGGCTCGGGTATTCTACAGTACTCTCGTACTAGGGCGCAGACATGTTGGATCACACCGGGCTTAGCCAATCTTCTGTCTTCGTGAGTTCGAATGACCTGTGAGGAGGATCAGTAGCTAGCTTGTGACAATGTATTGAACGGCGTAGCCATAATAGAGGACTCGGATGGATCGCGTCTGACGAACTATTAGGACTTGTGTGTGACTGGTCAATAAATTATTCTCAATTGGACACGTTTTCTTCATCCTAGCACTAGGTTGCTCAACATGTCTTTTGAAATTACCTAGCTCAACAATTGCTTCGTGTCTTTTCTCATTTAGCAACCCCGAACTAGCTAAATTTAAACGCCGTTAAGAGAACAATAGGAAATTTCGCGCTGTGCGTCTGCCAGCTCACACAATTCCCAAGTCATACGACTACTACCACTTCTTCCTGCGTCGACACGATCGAGAATTCTTGAAAGGGAGTTAGTTGGGAGCCAATGTGCGAACGATACCACGAGAGGGAACAAGTGGTTATGGAACGGCTTCTATACACAGCCCATCATCCGCTGCATGTTCAAACCTTCAACCAACATGCGACCCTTCACGTATTGATGAGACGGGATCTGCAGTGGTCAATCGTTGACCATTGAGAGAAGCTAGACTACATCAGTGGGTTGGTTGGTTGGTGCCCATTCTAACCAATCAGACTCCAGAAGGTGGCTGGGGTAACAGCGGACGGAGAAATAAGAGGGCACTGACAATCGCGCATTTGGTGGATTATATAAATGAAAGTATTTACACCGTGAAGGGGGTCTATCAGGGGGGTTGGGTGGAGCAATGAGATAAAGTACGCAGAGGTAGTTCGAACCGACAGTAATGCTGTGTGTATGTACATAGCTACTGGGTGGGTGAACACATTTGGGGGACCGCGTGAACACACCGAGACACAAACATACATTGAGAACAAATAGAGGGGCAGGCACACACACACACACACACGAGAGGAGGGAGTGTAAGGCGGCGTGGGGGAGGAGGCAGGGAGGTTCATTCGTTGGCGGGTTTAATCATGGTCACGGTGACGCCGGAGGTGGATGAGGAGGGCGGGGCTGCGACGGACGGTGGAGGGGAGGCGGGCTTGGGTGTTCCGCTGTTGGAGCTGCTGGGAACGACGGGATTGGTGACAGACGAGCTCACAACCGGGGCCACTGCGTTGCCCGCAACTGCCGACGACGTCGAGGCGCTTGGAAACTCCTCGCGCACCGCATTCAAACACTCCCAGGAGATGTCTGTTGGTGTCCGACTTCGCATCCACGTCACGTACTCCTCGACTTTGTCGGCGTCAATGGCGTCTCTTGCTCGATCTGCAAGGTACAATGAGAGGCTTAATGCATCCTTCACAATGCTTACTTACCAACATAGAGTAGGTTGTGTTTTGTAGAAATTTACAGACAAGCGGAAGCATTAGACTTATTAAACCGTGGGACTTGAAACCTCGTCACCGAAATTCCAAAATCACACTATAACTTAAAGGCCCTGTAGCTGGTTAGAATCAAGACCGAATACATTGAAAATCGCTGGTCTTAACTAGCTGGGACGGGACGTTAAACCCTGCGTGTCGAGTGGATTGTGAAGCGAACCAACATCTGCGTCGGCTACAAAACAACATCTCCGCGACGATAAACCTCACGAACCTCTGTGGACGGCATTCAAGTGGCGGTAGAAGTCCCATCGACGCACAAAGCCTTTGCGACAGATCCTGCAGGTGAACGGCTTGATGTCTACAACAGAAGAGCAATTGGACTTTGATAGTTAAAGTGTGGAGAGTTGGCTGTGCACGGACGTGGAGACAAGCTTTAACAGCCTCGGCCAAAGTGTCGAGCAAGCGTGGCCACAGTGAGCCTACCTACGCGTGCCTAGGGCGACCTTGGCAACCGTTAAAAACAGACAGCACGTTCAAAGTGGGATGAGCGAATAGGAAGCCAGCGCGGTCGATTTGAACACGTGAGGCGGATTGAGGATTGGGGAAAATTTTTGTTCTATAGCGCTTACAACGCCATAACGAACTGCCTCTAATTTCTGGTGTGAAGAAACCGCTGATTTAATTAGCTTTACATTATCGGAACACACGCTGAACCAAGATTAAACGTGGGATTTTCGGCGAATGAAACGTGGAAATTGGGAATGTCTGGGCGACTCCTCTGCATACCGCGCCACACGCAGGGCACCCACCTGAATGAACTTGGATGATGTGGGCCTGGAGGCTCTGGTTTCGAGGATAGACCTTGTCACACTGGTCGCAAGCGAACTGTTTCCGCGGCTTCGGAGCTACAAGGCAAGCAGAAAGGGCGTTAGCATAAGGTGAAGGCGGAGGGGATGTGCGACTGAATTTGAACAAAAAAGGGTTGTCCGATCTGTGGGCCAGGCATAAATCAAACCTCACTGTGGTCTACTCGCTTGATGGGGAGGTTGCAGCACTCAAATTGGGTGATCGGATGCAAAAATTCGTGGTGGCTACCACCTGGATGGAGTCTGTGGGGCTGCCCTGAAGGTCGACGCAGTCAGTGAGGAGGCGTCGAGAGGTTCGAATAACGAAGGGGAGCATTGGTGAGAATTAAAACAAACTTAGCAAAGTAACTTAGTCTCGAGCGCGTTCTAGACACGCCGATGCCAGACCCTCGCAGAATAAAAATCGATCGGCAGATTAGCAGGCTGCCTACTGATAAGATTGAAGCAAACACAAACGAGGGAATTTAGAAGCCGCTAGCATGGCACACGCGCGCATAGGCTATAGGAGACGCGCATTGAACGACATCGCGTAACACGAAAACGCGCGAGAGCGAGCGAGCGAGGGAGGGAACGACAGAGAGAGAGAGCACGTCGCGCCTGCACGCCAAGTCATCAACGCACACGCTATGTGTTTCTGCGCGCACGAACGCGCACGCACGCACAAGCGCGTGACACATCGACGTACGCACAAGCGCTTGCGCGCGCGTTATCGACGCACTGGTGCTGACGTGGCGCTGGGAGGAGCGCGTACGCACACACGCACGCACGCGCATGAGCTCCGTGCGTTGTCGCTTACGCGTCGCCAGCCTACTCTGCGCGCACACACCGCTGCCCCGAAATCATCGGAGGAGGGAATTGGGATTAAACACACACACACACACACACGCCGCGGAGAGGCCACACGATGGGGAGTTTTAAAGCGACGACCGGGGTTAAGATGTCGCCCGAAAAATCCACCGCACGCCCGAATCGGTTTTCAACTCAGATGAGAATTTCTGACAATTACAACTAGCAAAACCATGCTACGACATTGAGTTAACGTAACATTCGTCAATACCCCTTGCAGCCAAATAAAGCTCTAGTTGTGTGAAGAACTGATCATGCCGTTTACCAACGTCCACAAAGGGATTGTTAGTTAAAAATGATACTCTCGGAATCACGACATCAACGGAAGGCCTCACCAAACACTTGTCATTAACCTAGAAATGGTTCATGTGGTTTCAAATTAGCGCCCCATTTAGGCGCGCACTTAGGAGTGCTTTCAAACGATGTGCGCCTGGGTGCGGAAATGTACCAACGAGAACTCGACGGCTTCAATGGGAACTGGAAAGTACGGCAGTGGTGCTTCGTGTGACTTGAAATGGTTCCCTATAATTGGGGTAGCCACCTGATTAAGAGGGTGCACGCACACACACACACACGCAAGCATGATCCAAAATATCACCCACGCACGCACCTGCAGTTGATCTCAAGGGACAGGCGCGTAGCAACGGATGCGGGAGAAGGAGCGTAATCACACGAGTGTACGCATAAACACACCCGCACACACACACACACATAAGAGGTAGGCACGACAACCGTGCATGCACCCACGCACATACGCAGGTACAAACATATACACACACACACACGCACACACACACATGCACGTCAGCAGTCGCATGTGCGTGTGTGTGCACGCGAGCATAAGGCAAATCGATACAACGCACGCACGCACACGCACCACACACTTCCTCTGGCACGCACACAAATACGGGTGCACTACACGCGTGCGCACGCGAAGGCAGCACGACCTAATACCGGGGTTAAGCACGCAGCGACTGGTTCAAGTCCGGTGCTTCACCCCATAAAGACCTCTCATCATTCGAATTGACCACAACCGAGGCTACGACGTCCCGGTCAACGAAAGGAGGCAACTAGCTTCGCTGGAGCCTATTCGACAATTAGAAATCCCAAATCTATGGACATCAGTAAAATTACTATCGGGGGTTTGTAGCTGGGCCGCCTGGCCAGAGTGTTGTAGTTGAGCGGTTTGGGTGGGCGGGAGAATCGATATCGTGGCGCCCTGTTGCATCATGTGTTGGGCAGGCGGCAGGCCCAACTGCTGTCCGGCCTGTTGAAGGCGCTGCTGCTGTTGCTGCTGTGGCTGTTGCTGCATGCCGTGGGGTACGCCCGTGTTGGAGGACGTCGAGGTGGCAGCGGCTGCAGCGGCGGCGGCCAACTGGAGGTGGTGGTGGGTGGCCGCGGTCGGTGGAAGCAGACTGCCACCGGCCTGCTGGAAAAAGAGCGTCGGCATCATCGTGGCGGAGGGCAGTGCGCCGCCTGGAGCCGCTGCGCTCACCGAAGCAGCCGGCATCGGCACGGCAAAACGCGTTCCGCCTGCCGCTGCCACTAAAAAGAACGACAAAAAAGGACACAATTAGGCACGGGAAGGCTGCTAACGCTCAAGTGCTGTGTGTAACGTCCAGGCGAGGCAAATCCTTCTTTGAACCATCAGAGTACGTGGAAGAAGTCAATTCCTAGCTGAACCACTTTAAGAGAACGTCGGCAGCCATCTCAAGAACACAGCAGAATGGACAGTGTGGGTTGGCAAACACACGACAAGGCCACACTAAAACACACACCAATGCTAACGGAGTTGGTAGGAGCTTGTGAAAAGGTCGAGAACTGGAGTGGCTGTTGGTGTTGAGCGGATGCCTGAGAGAACTGCGGTTGCACCACCTGCGTGACCTGGGTCTGCGACGACTGGACGTGCTGCTGCTGGGCTTGCTGTTGCTGCTGAGGGTCCCCTTGTTGAGGCTGCGATTGCTGCGCCTGTTGCAGGGCGGCCTGCTGACCTGGTGCCTGCTGTTGTTGTTGTTGCTGAAGGGCAGCCTGCTGCTGCTGCTGTTGTTGCAGAAGCTGTGTCTGCTGCAACACCGGCTGGCCTTGTTGTTGAAGCACCTGTTGGTTGTGCTGCTGCTGCTGGATCAGCTGATGCTGCTGGCTCTGGAGCAGTTGCTGTTGTTGCAGCTGCTGCATCAGCTGATCTTGGGTCAGGATCGTAGCCTGGGGAGCCTGAGGCATCGCGAACACGTTGGGCATTCCGGGGATTTGTTGGAGTGTAGCTAGACAATCAAGAACAGACGGGTTATTTACTCAGAGGGAACAAAACGGCGCGACCGCCAAACATTTCACACCAAACTAAAACACCCCAACTCCAGGCCGCGTGTACGTGAGTGTGTGTGCAGAGAAAATGCCCAAGTAAGGCGAGGAGGACAAAGTCAAGAAGCCAGAGAAACAGGAACAGAGGCTGAGACAAAGACAGAAACAATGCGGCTCTACCTTTGTGAACAGCAACCATGTGGCGCTCCAAATACCACCGTTGGGGAAATCCCTTGCCACAAGAGCTACATTCATAGGGTTTACTCTCTAAAACAGGAAAAAAACAGAGGAAAGAGGCGAATTAGAGGCCTGGCAAAAACGTCTGAGGCAGTAGTTTAAGCTACAGTGGCAAGGGTCAGGGTTCTACGTGTGGACAACACCAGTGGGGCTCGGGAAACACGCACAGCCTGACACGCTAGACGACTAGGTGACAGAACTGGGGAGGTAAAACCCACAATAACGCGCCACTTAAACAAGTCGAATGTTTCTCTAACGAAGCAACAAAAGAAACAAGAAGCAGAGCAGACGAGAGAGCAGGTGAAAGGAACAAAAGTGGCCCGGACACTGCACCCAGCACCGGCTGATACGCAAGAACCGAGTTGGGAAAGGAACATCGATGTGTTTAGAAGGGCGTTGGCGCAATGCCTCGGAACGTGGAAGCGACACGTGATAGATCAAAGCGTAGCACACTCACCTTTGTGAACGGAATTCCCGTGGCGTAGAAGATCACATTTTCGGGCGAAATCTTTGCCGCAAACCTGGCAGTGGTATGGCTTCAGCCCTGCAGGTGGAAAATCAGATAAATTGACTTGAGCTACACTTGTAGGAAGCACAAGCTCCAGTGTGAGTGATAATAAAGACAGGCAAAGTCACGATAAACTTTAGGCAAAAGCACTAATTCGTTAACAACCTGTCAAAAGTAGGATTTAAAAACGAACTCCACGGTTAGCATGCCCACACTCAAATACCACTGGGAAACAACTGAAGCTACGACATACGCGCGTAATTATGATTTAAATAGAACATCGATATTTCCTAAATATACGTACTTTCGTCTTCACCGAGTCCTACGTTAGGATCTACAGTTAAACCGTCAAATCGATTTTGGCCGAAACTACTGCTTTGCGAGAGAACTTATAACACAAAGTCACACAAAACGACGTAGACGACAAGCCAACCAACCTTTGTGCAGAGCATTGACGTGCATTTGCAGATTTTTCTTCTCCGCGAAGGCTTTGTTGCAGAGGTTGCACGTATAGTCTTTCGAATCTGCAAATTGAAGAAACGGTTAGTTAGTTGACATCGGCGCGGAGGGACAGAGAGAGAGAGAGAAGGCCTTAAATTGCTACAATCTGCCCCCCTCTCAGTGACTAGAGTTTTGAGTAGATCCTTTAGGTGTGTGTGTTTTGGAGGTAAAGCCCCAACCACTGCAGTGGTTGTAGGGTGAACCACGTGTGTAGAGGAGGGGATTGAGTCGGTGGTGATGGTGGGGGGAAGGGAGGTAGGGGCTCAGAGAGTGTCAACGTACCTGCGTGGACCGATTTCATGTGGCGTTTCATAACTGAACGCTTACAGAAGGCCTTTTGGCATGTAGGGCAGAACACATCACGTATGTCTGCAAAAAGAAAGTACTATAACTGAGCAGACGCCGGTTCCCCCCACCAAAGACCTAACCGTTAATACTCGATTAAGGGCACGTATGTGGGAAAAAAAGTAGGAGGTGATGGTAAAAAGGCGAGGGCTTACTCTCGTGTCTGCTTTTGATGTGGTTTTTCAGCAAAAAGGCCTTGGCGTAGGCTTTGCCGCAGATGTTGCAGGGAAATCTTCGCATACCTAGAATTAGAAAAAGACGGCTAGTCCACCTCAACAATGGAATTCGACAAGGACATAGAGTTGACATTTTACAAATACAAAGTGATCGAATCTAGTAGAAAGGGGCAAGCGGCGAGATTGATTCATTACCGGCATGCATGAGGTCGATGTGCTGGCGTAAGTCCAACTCTGAAACAAAATGAGCCCGGCAGTAGCCACATTCGTGGGCTTGTGTGGCCACCACAGGGGTCGCTGTTACCCCAGCTGCTGCCACAACCGCTGAGTCATCAGCCTGGAGACAAAAAAAAACAAATTTTCACCAATGTAGCCTTAACAAGACTGAATTCCAATTACAAAAAGTGGATGGGGGTTAAGTACCTTTTGAACGTTTGTTCCGTCTAGATTCGCTTGAGGCAGGTGTTGGCTAGTGACGATAGGCGCACCTACCGTCACAGTCACTCCCTGTTGTGACTGGGCCACCTGAGCCTGCTGTGGTGTTTGCTGACGGGATACCTGCTGCTGTTGTTGAGCGCCAGGTTGCTGCCCTTGTTGTTGTTGTAACAAACTAGGGTCTTGAGGTTGTCCCATCATCGGTTGCCCCATAACCGGATAAAGTACAGTATTTGATTCATCTAACTTTAGACGGAGAAACACATTTTCGCCAGATGGCTGTTGGAATACGGTACCTAAAATGCCAGAAGACTCTAGAGACGGCAGTTTGTGGAAGGATGTAGAGCCACTTAATAAAGGACAGCTTGTTAGGGCGCTACAGCTGCAAAGACGCACCAGATTAAAAACTCACCCTCCGTCAATTCAGTTAAGCCAGTGCATTGAACGTAAACTTAATGAAGTGTAAAAGGTTTTAAGAACATCAGAAAGCATTTGGATTACAACACATAGAAAAGTGGTACTTACCTGGTGGCTGTCCAACAAGAATGTTTGAATAAACAGGTGTTGACGTTAGCGTGGGCATGCCCTAAAAGTAAGGAATATGTTCGTAAGATAAGCACATATCCGGGAACAAAAAGGATAAACTGACAGATCAACAAAATCTTGAAGAACCGAGCAAAACGAATTTACGGAGCACGCTCACCAAGTATGTCAATAATTGCTGCACACAAATAGTTACCAAGACTGTTTATACGTCAAGATTTTTAAGCCCAACGGCTCAGAAAAGAGAGTACACATTTAAGAAAATAATAAAATGGTATTTGCTTACATCTATGGTTTTAAAAGATGACGAAAGGGAAGACATTAGAAGTTTTCAGACTTTCAAGGTCAATATTAGTGAGGAAAACCTAAAAGAGAAAGGATCAAAGTGATTTGGGCATGGTTAAGAGAAGTAAGCGTGGTACATTTAATCCCAGCTGATTAAAAATAAGTATGACCGTGGATATTTTCATGACGTTGCGTCTAAAGAAGAGTTACCCTAATAAAATTTGCTACAACTAGCAAAAAAATGAATAAGAGCTACATATATGCTAACATTCAATTACTATGGACAACCAGCACAGACGACAAAGGAAAAACTGCCGAAGTATCTATAGTAAGCAATAAAAATTGGACAAGACTGCGTGAAAAAATTTAAGCCAGTCAAAGCTAAAAAACTTTGAGCAAAAAAGAATATATCAAGAAAAATTCCTCGGCTACGGCAAATTAAAGTAAGGGGAATGGGGAGAACCTGTCTGAACCGCCACTTGGTAAAAGCGCAATAATTAACTGCTTAGTAAAACAAAACTCAAATATCACTGTGACTACGCGCTATTTATTACAAAAAAAATTGTAAAACTTTTAAAATGTATAATGTTTTACATTTTATTTCTTGCATACGCTAACAGCGTATGTGCAAGGTAGATAGATGAAGTTTAAATATTACGACATATCAAACGCCATATTTGTGCTTAATTAGGGCTACGCTTCATGCCTTACTTTAAAAAATAGAAGAACTTGCTATTTTAGCATCGAAACCAAACGCTTAAATTAAATGGGAAACCTGAAAAGACCAATGGGTTGTTGACGAAAATGGCCGTCACAAAAAACTTAAAAATATATATCTAAACTCGTATAGTTACCCCTCTTTTGTTAAGTGAGAGAATTTTTTGTCACAACGCAACAGTTAAATTAAAAGGAAGAATTACAGCTGTTGGGGTAATCTGGTTTTGAGGAATAGCAGGAATACCTGTAAAAAATTCAAAATAGGCTGTGCCGTACGTTTTTTCATGCAGATTCGTTATATCCAAAGTCATCTGTATGGATATTTCCTTTTATGTGAATTCACGATTTTTTTACGGAATCTTAGTAGTATAGTGTTTTAAATATTAACTCATTTAAACTTAAATTTATTTTTGCAAATCGAATTGAACACCTCAAAAAAGGTCCAATAATAAAATATCGCTCCTTTTGTAGGAGGCCGATTTAATTCTCCGCAAAACACCCGATATACATGCCTAAGGAGGTGCTTTTACAAAATTATAGCAGAGCTTTTGAAATACATATGGATGCAGTTCCTTGCAGAAACTAAAATCTAAACCAAGTGCATTACGAATCTCGTCGACATAACAGTTCACACTCTCTCTAGTTTTTTAATAAGGTGTTACGAGGACTACAGGTGGTGCAGAATTTTTTCGCATTTTAGCACTTCCGATCTCCTTTTTTGAAAATCATCAGTTTTTGGTCTGCATAGGCATGAAACCTCTGACTGCTGCCAATCTGCGAAGTTTCTATATGCTTTCACCGGAATAATCACGACAATCAAATATCCTTCAACGAACAATGCTTCCGTTTTCTCTTTCAGACCCGCACACAGAGTATATTATTAGTGGCTCAGTTAGGTGCCTGACAAACAATTCCGGGTTTTGATTGTTCAATAAAGCACGCTTTGTTGCATTGGACATCTTCGTACTATAGTTTGGGTACTTGACAAAACACCTTTATTAGAACGTAAGGCACTTCGTAGCTTCCAGCAAAATGTAAAAGAATTTTCCTGGACTAATCTAGTTATTAGATACGCCCATTTATCTGGACCATGGGGTAGATTGGGAAATAAGACGATCTCAGTGGTTGGTTTATGCGTACTTTTGACAGTAAGGTGTAATCAATTTGCCATCCATTATTGCATCAGGCTACCCGTTATCTAGACCATCAGCAGACGAGCCTACTGGCTCTTTCACTGTAATGCTAAAACACCAAATGTAACTCATCGAGACAGTTCAGATACGGGACTTGAAGGCCAAAACGACAGTCTCTAGTTGCACAACATGAAATCGACAATGAACTCTAGGATGACCCACTTCAGCATCAAACTTTTAACCAACACAATCGCTTTATACAAAATTCATCTCGCTCTCTACACTAGGTCCTGCCTTGTCCTGCATTAGCATGGGAGGGTAGAGTTGCTAGCGTCTGGTAAGGAATCTGGCGTATGGCCGGTTACGTGAGGGAGTGTGTTGTCTTGGTTACTGGCGCATAAGTTGTTTGGCTTAGACATGACAGTCTAGCTTTGGACATTTTCAGGGTATACTCTTTCCAATCTTGTAATGGTGTCCACATCTTCAACGATTTATTCGGTCGCCTGACGAGTTTTTAGTCGTTCTAGATGGAGACAAATTGCGGTATCTGATGTAAAGACTCGAGACTGCTGCATTATCTCCACGACATCGCGATCTTTGGGGGGAAAGGGGAGGGCAACACCGTCTCCGTATGAACAGTCAGAGAGAAGATATCTTTGTCGCCTAGTAACATGCGAAAGTTTCGTTGATGACGGTAGAAGTCGAGCCACTGCCGATTGTCGACCATGGCTGCATGGTTTGAACCCCGTTCCAGCTCATTTGTGATCAATTGTTGGGCTAATTGGTGAAAGGGTACAGTAGCCTCCAATGATGCGCAGGTCTGGAAAATAAGACTGACCTGTAAACAGCACCATCACGGCGAACTCTTTTCAACCACAGACTGCCTTTTCTCTTTCTCCTCCTCCCCACAAAATTGAATAGTGACGCGAATCCGGAAAGTTCGATTAATTCGAATTACTTACGCTCACGTCATGGACATCTAAGCGGCAATTTGCTTTTTTTTGCACCTCGTGTTAGCAGCTGATCAACAAAGTCTGGAACAAGCGATATATTCATGCTCCATCATGAATCTTGATAAGTAATCGAAGTTTGGTTCTCTCTTTTGACTTTGTGGTCGGTTAGTTACTTTAGTCTACTTTTACAACTATAAAACTTGCTGTCCATTCTTAATCACCCCAAAGATTCAGTAACCGTTTACATCAGAAGCATAAATTCTCGTGCATAATCTGTTGTGGGCCATCAATTCGCAGTCAACTATTACTGTAGGTCCCGATATGTTGAATTACACTAAGGCGGCGCCGGTGAGTTGTTAATACCACTTGTTATCTGAGAAGACAGGTAGGAGAGCAGAGATAGAAGAGACACGACCGTTTACTAGACGGCTCAACCGATTCACGTTAGTCGCGCCACAGGGCATAAAAATGTACTTGACTAAATGGCGTTGTCGATCAATAATGTCGGCATGAACCTGCAAAAGTGCAAATCGCCAAATGGCCAACCGAATGAACTGGGTAGCGTGGGGGCGGTGCACCTGCGCGACATCCGGGTTAAATGATTCACTAAAAATTTATCTCGACGCCATGGTCTTCATTCACATACCGAATCAGGCATTACCTCAGAGTACTATGGCAAACACATGAGGTGCGTTGGTCTGACCTCCCCGCCGTACGAAACTGCTTACGATGTCACAAAACCTTCATTAAAATTACTATTTCTGAACCCGGTTAATCCGTGTGAATCTGGACCGAGGGCCAACTGTGGACAAATTGGATGACATATTTGTAATTTTAATACCATGGTTGTGAATCGTGTTTAAACACACTCGTTAATCCGGTCGCCCCATCCTCCGACACAGGGCTCCCATTTTCGTAGCATGGCGACAGCCGCGCGGGTCCTCAACTCCCTCCTCATTCACACGAATAGTTATCTTGGATTATCCTCACACCTAGGTCTCGATGTTAGCGCATCTATGACTCACACATCCGAGGCATAAATACACGCGCGCAAACCCCACACACGACACAACGACACCAACGTGGTTGAGCTCTGAAGTAAACGGTTGTGTCCACGTCCTCGCCGGTCTCGTTCTTCATCGCGGATATCAGCGGAGCGTAATCGGGCCAGGGTTCAAGACCACATGCTGGGGACCACAGCACCATCCTTGAACCTAAATTTACTGCTACGTGTCAATTAACCAAGTTTTGTTTCTAAAATACACAATATCATGTCTATACACTTCAATTTCGTACACATTCGTAACGTCACACAAATTGGGCCTCTAAATACAACGGTGCTTAAACTGGTTTTAGGCATCAAGCGGCGTTGTTCGTCAACACTGCACAATTTAAAAAATTGTTTTGCATAAAAAGATGGTGGTTACGGGTTTTAAGCCAAATAAGATTGACACGAAACAAGTGGGAGAATTTAACCATTGAATTAATAACGGATTATAAAAGGCGACGTGTCACGTTACTAACTAGGAATTTCCGTGGTTTCATTTATGAGAAACACCTAGCCCAATCAAGATTTTCTTATTTCCAATAAAATATTAGTAAACACTTTCTATTCTCATTGCTGAGTTCAGATTTTTGAATGAGTTGACCTTTTAATTTTCGAAATGCGCAGTCGTCGCATTCGAAACTATCTGTTCGTGTCTACTTACAAACCATAGACTTGGGAAAAATGACTGGTAATGGCTTTAATCGAAAGAGATCAGGCGAAAAATGAGGAATGTGGTTGATTGAACATTAAAAATAGAACGTGCGTACGCGGTGGAAGCAGACATGAATGTTAGCCATTCTTATTTTTCAAGAGCTGACATCAGAGACCCGCATCCCTGAAGGTTCTTGAATTCAGCATACTCCCCGGGCAACGAGAAATTGACGCGGATCTGAGACGTCGTTGTCGGTGTTACGTGCGTTCGCCTTCAAATGACGGTGGAACTGTAAGCCAGCTTGATCAATACTTGGAAAAAATATTCAATCTTGCGGAGGTATGTTAGACCCCAAGTACCCAGGGAACAACGGAATCTTACTCATTTTCCGATTCATTCAGCGACAGTGCCATTTCCAACCACAGAAGACTCGCGAAAATGAAGACTAGGGCTTCACAAAGTAACTCTAATGAGTGCTTTATGATCGAGTTCATTTTTTTTAAAGATTAAGAACGCCGAATAGAACTAAACTAAAGTCTTCAGCGTGTTTGGCACATCTTTAAAACCCTACGGACCACAGGTCACTAAGAGATCTGCCGAGGTCATTGACTACTTGTTGAGGAAACCGGCATTCCTTCTTCATTGTTTAAGCAACTCCCCGTAACCACGCCACTCCGATGAGTCATCCATTTAAATCACCCCACTAACTGCTTCATCTGTGACCCCTCATGTCCAGGTCACTCATGGCTTACATAAGCTGTGGAGTCCTACACGACACTCCGCTATTGGCTGAGATAGCATCCTTTACAAAAAATGTGACCACTCAGGACCTTACTCATTTTTGATTGGTTTAAATTGAGTACAGCATTAGGTGACTATTGTCGGGTTATGACTTAGGAAGGATTAAAACCCGTAACTCATGCGGTGCTCCCTTGTTAGGAAAAAATTCTTTTAGTTCACGCTACTGTATTTTCATCCTAAGATATACACATTTTCTCATTGGAGTACCGTAGTGACCAGTCAGATTCCTTGAACCAGAAAGGTTTCCTAGAATCGATTCCACATACCTATGCACCCTTCCAAATAACACGTGTAACAAATAATTAATTGTCGCTGAATACGCCTTGGTTAATTTTCCCAGGGATTTGCAAAATAGCCATCTGCTGTTTGGCTGTTACTTTCCAAAAAAACATGCATCGCTACCAACTGGCATATTCCCGCTCCACATAAATACGTAGGGACCGAAATTAGCACTACCACAAAACCCTATAGATAACAGTCGGTCACAGCCCGAGGAGAGGGAAGACAGAGTCGGCAGAAACGACGATCGTTTATTCGGGTCACGACAGTCAAATCAAGCCGATTGAAATCAAGTAAACCAACTTTTGTGTGCAAATCAATACGCGTGCGTTACTGGCGACTGCTAATAGGAGCCAATGATAAAGAGGGTGAGTCATTGCACGCAGCACTCACGCGCGGTACATTCACGAAAAAATCGATTGATTAGTGTTCGCTCACTCTTGCAAACTGCGTTCGCCCACGAATGCTAACTGTGCTGGCTTGGCGCTCGCCACAAATGCAAATAGCGAATGAGCCACCCGAACGTAGGGATGTCACCAACATTACACGAAACAAGGTGGTCAGTTTCGGACGACAAAATCAGAGTCCATTTGATAAAACCTAACTCCAAGGCATCGTTGTAGCGTTCTTGAGATTATCTGATTTTGCCTACTTTATGTCATTCAAACATCTCATTTGACGCAAAAACAGGCGCGTCTTGACGACAGATGAGGGGTTTGGCAATCACTTCGCGTCGCCTGTCCACTATAGCCGTTGGATTCTTTGGGTGTTCATTGATATCATTTTGGACGTTACCTTTGCCTTCGCATGCATTCGACACGGCCTTCGGATACAAGTCTGTATCACGCCTGCATGTCCCTTCCTTTTATTGTCTACATCTTCCACAGACAGTGAAGAAAGACGCTAAAGTTTCCTACAAAATAACCCAGATATCATTCTAGGCTTTCCACAGACCAAAACTACGGCTTTGTGGAAGAAGATTCTGCTCCTTCTTGATATAGACATTGAATTATTACGCATTTGAAAAGCCGAAATGGTAGTTTAGAAGCCGCAACGCCCTACGTGGACACGGCCCCACCGGGAAAAAAGAAGACCGCAAACAGTAAGGTTAAATGGGGACGGTTTAACTAAATACTGAAGGAGGATCCCATTGGGGTGACCAATTGTTGAGGGACTCGACATGTGGTCTTGAACCACGCCGCTGTGTAGAATTCGGCCCAGTTACCTCACACGGATACTCTCGAAGGTCAATACGGGCCTCGTGGTCGCCAACAGTGACGATGAACGTAAAGCAGTACGAATAGGATTTACTCAGGTCACAGCTCAAATATTATAGGGTCATAGATATTGCAAGTCAACGTTTTATTTTATTAAATCTAGGCGTGTTTTTGGTCAGTTAAGACATTTTAGCTACTCGTCGGAACCTCAAATTGCCACAAGAACACCTGAGGCATTACGAACTTCATCAAATTTCATTTTTACACATTATTTGTCACTTAGTGAAGGACACTTTGATGATGCACTTTTCGTATTGAATGTACGTCGCTAAAATTGTGTTTAATGCTTCAATCATGATCCCATCTTTATAGGGTCTCAACATTATTCCTGTACAAACCGCCTGTCCTACTATATCGGAAGGCATAAAATCTTCAGGTATTACAATATTTTTTCATAGATTTACTCACAAAAATAGTTGAACTCGTTGTCCACCATGAATAGGTCGGACATTCATCGAATTCAGTAGTGTGTTCAAAATAGTGGCGTACAAAACTGTCAAGCGCTTGGTTGGAGGGAAGAGATCAGTTCATGCGTGAAGGCGAGGTGCTATGGAAGTTGGTTCTGCGGAATGTTCGGTGGAGGCTTCCCTAAGTCAATGCACCCCTCTTCCATCTTCGCGTGGTCTCTGAGGAAGTAGCCCGCGATTTGGACTTCTGCGGAACGAGTTGGTTGTGGAGCCATTCAATGCCCTCAATGACCCCGGCTCCGGTCAGAGCACATGTTGGCTGCACGTGCCACACACGACCGCGCAGCTTCTCAACTTCCAGCACTTCAAGGACTTGAGCCAGAGGCATTGCAAAGGTGAGATCCTACAGACGGGAAGGCAGATGCTAAAAGCCCGTTTGCATTGTGCGTGTTTCATTACGTTGGTGGTTTGACTAACGATTAGTTAAAAACATAGACTGCAGGCCCACTATCTAATTATTAACACTGAAACACCCGCAGCAATGTCGCCAAGTTTTAATCGAGCAAAGAACATGTAAATGGTGAGACAACATGGGATTTATTGCACATCTAATTGAACACACTACGTGGGAGAAACAAGATTGGTCGTTTTTAAGGGATTCTGACACGAAAATTGATTCAAGTCGACAACAAACGTGAATCATTCCAATGATTGTGGGTTCAACATGATTTGCCGTGGGCCCATTTCAATTTGTTAAGCCAACAGAAGCACCCATGAAACAAGTAGAGATGGTAACTGACGCGACTAGCATAGTTCCTCATTGGTAGCAAACTCTACCATTTTTTGTTTATTCTGATTTTTTAACACAATGTCGTCAAGTTTTGATCGAGCACATATACATGTCCTCGTTAGAGCCTTAATCAAGCCTGCCGTTGGTATTAAGTTCTCACGTTCCATAATGAATTTGACAAAAATGCACCGCTCGATACTGAGAGCGCAGACCGTCCCAAAGCTACTGATGCAGATGACACTAATGTTCCTTCCTTAGGCCCAAACAACGACGAACTTACTCTACACCCTCCCGTACCCCCACCCTGCCCTACGTCACGTTTTGACCGACCCATGAGACCCGTTGTCCGCTTTGTTGCTTCCGTTTCACAGCTAACATTCTCGGGGGAATATATGTACGGGATTAGAAGCGATCACGCCTGAGTGGACTCTCCTTACTGACCTTACGGTGTTAGTGACTCATCCTCTTTTCATTGGTTACTGTTATCAGAGGCAGTGTCATTTCGTATGATCTCATCACCGGTTGGATTGAGCCTGTGCCTCAGCACCTCCAGCCGTCTCTCCACGTGGACAAGCAAACCGACGTCCATACGGGTAGGCTGCCACCCGAAGCGGCAACTGACCAATCCCCTGCGTGCACCGTCAAGCCCAGCCAATCAGATTCCTCTCTGCTTGAGCGCCCATCTGACCCACCCGTGAACTGCTGTGGAATCTCGGACTTACTCACTGCAGGCTTAAGACACCCCTGCAGGGCGGTGGGGGGGAGTGTGGGTGGGTAGAATTAACCTGTAGCGCCTGAGTGGACCCTGGTTACTGACCTGATGGTGATAATGACTCATCCACTTTTCATTGGTTACTGCTGTCTTCCGCTTACTCATCCACACACACTAAGGCACACACTTGGTTGGCGTGACGCTAATAAACGATCTTGTTCTCTTTCCCCTCTCTTCTCGGATTGCTACGGGCTGTTAACGAGAGAGTTGTAAGTGAAGCCCCCACAAACTCATTTCCCAAATCCCGATTGAGTCGTTAACTAGTGTAGTGGAAATAACCGCCATTTTAACTCTATTAAAAAAACCTATGACATCTGGACAAGGTAAAGTCATCCAACTAGGATGACAGAATGTTGTTTGGTCAGTGACGTTAGATAAGTAAGCTAACGAATCCCACGTTACTGATCCAGACGAGAAGCAAGTAGTTGGCACGACAAAAAGCTGCTGCAAATGCGAACGGACAAATTTTCGAACTATGCATGTTTTGTAAATCATTGGGGATCTGAGGCACTACAACTCACCTCAGAGCATCTGTGCCTGCCTTGAAAATGTGATAGAAAAAAGGCTAAAAATCTAAGTTACCTACGAAAAATTTGCGTCAGGTAACGATGGGGTCAAACCTAGGCCTGCTATTGTGAATATTTAAATGCAATTTCTATTTGTTGTAGAGTGAAAGCACGCAAATAGGGACTAGAATGTTGATAAAACTGGCCTTATTGCTTTCCATGAATGGTATGACACAGCCACATCAACATGAACCATCACGAAAAGTTTACCTTTTTTGAAATATAAATTAAATTTCACGGATTGGTTCTTCAAGCTTAAATTTTTATTAAAAAATTAAAGTATTTTCGCGGTCTTTTGTGACTTTCAAAGCGCCAAACGAAAAGCCTACGTACTTGGCACAATCTCTCTGAATAGCAGCTTACGATAGCAACTGAAACACAGCACATTAGATAGCACAGATTTTAAATGAAAACGAACTAGGGAAAAAAGCTTCGAAAGTACGGGCATCAACATGTGGTGTTCCTGGTGCTGACGTTGCGACTTCTGTGAGACGTGTCAGAGAAATAAATGAGACAGGCATTTGAAGTATTTCCATGCCCTGTGTTGCCTGTTGTGAATCGTGTTTATTCACACCCCTTAATCCAATCTTCGACACAGGGCTCCCATTTTCGCAGCATGTCGCCAGCCGCGCGGATCCTCAACTCCCCCCCCCCATTCACACGAATAGTTATCATGGATCATCCTCACACCTAGGTCTCGATGTTGGCGCATCTATGACTCACACATCCGAGGCATAAATACACACGCGCAAACCCCACACACGACACAACGACACCAACGTGGTTGAGCTCTGAAGCAAACGGTTGTGTCCTCGTCCTGTCCGGCCGTTTTCTTCATCGCGGGTATTATGGTTAATTCCGTGGCCCCGGCGTAGTTCAAGACCACATGCTGGGGCCTACAACATGCCTATTCGCTTTCATCTGGCAAAAATACACGGAAACAGGCTACTTTGCAGACGTTCGGATTATGGATTCGTGGGAAGGACTCGAACGTGCTACTAACCTGTTTGTTGGCGAGGATGAGAACACGGGCATCACGTAGCTCCGCACTGCGTAGAATGTCGTGAATCGCGTCGCGTGTGTCGTAGATCCTGTCGTAATCCCCGCAGTCTACCACAAAGATGACGGCTAAAGTAAAAAGGAAAGAATGAGGGACTTCTATTTCAAATCACAATGGTTCTACATGTTGCTAGTTTTGCCTATCAATGTTTGCATCTGTATTGTTCTACCTTGCTGATGTTAAGGAATTCGGAATAAGGTGGGTTTTAAACTGTTTAAGTATTTCTTCTTTACATTGTGACCAAAGCTTCAAAGACAAGGAACTTGCTCGACATCAATTCAAAAAATCCGTGTCAATGTGAGGATTGTAGTTTGTGATACTAAGTCATTATTAACTGTCAGCAATGAGGTACCAGGCATGAACTCTAGTTGTAGCATAAACAGACGTAAGCGAAGATGGTTGTGACTCACTAAAACTTACTTAGCTTGTTCTCGAAAAGTCCTCCAAACCATGGTTTGTAGTTCTTTAATTTAAAGGTCGTAATAGTGTTCGGCAAACCGTCATTTTCAAGGAACCTTCGCAAGAACTAGGGCTGGATAATTTAAACAAGTGATTGGTTCCGCTTATACATCAATCGATATTTCAACTGATGGTGTTTAGTATTTAAACATGATGACAATTTAGACGAAACTTGCTAATGAATTACTACTGTGACTGTGTAAAGTACAAAGTAATCAGGCATGTTAAGAGTTATTGATAATGCGCTTAGCTGAGTTGCAACATAATTGTGGCTCAAATCTGTCCCCAAGAGACAATAAAAACCAAACTCAGCATTCAGGGTTAAAAGTGGAGGAAAGTGTTCTTCCAAATATATAGGGACATCTCTGTTCAAATGCCAATAAATTCTCGATTCTTGCTAATATCTTGGTGGTAGAAATTAAATGACCTAAAGTGACCTTGTAAAGGCCAAAAGATTCATGTACCTACAGCCTTATTCGGTTACTTTTCCCTCCGATCGGTGACCACTTACATTGGAAATTAAAGCTGCAAAAACCGCATTTCGACTCACAGCTGCAGTTTTTGGGGAGCATAAACTTTTCTGAAATACGTTAGTAAAAGAAACATGAACTGCAAATATCAAATTCCGCCAATAGTAGCTGATGAAGATCGCAGCAAACCCTACTTAATCGGCTCTTCAAGGAATAAAGAATCGGAAAATAAATTAATTATAAGTCAATCAAAACACAAAGCCGACTGCAGAAAAGTAGATGCGGGTAATGATAAGGTGGATGCTATATCAAAAAACATTGAAACTAGCAGCGTTCATACATCTTCAATTCTTTATTAAAAGAAAAGAAGACTAGATATAATAAAACGCCTTCAATTCTATGAATTTAGACATCAACGATTCCGAAAGTCGAAACCTTCCTCAAGGAGAACCTCGAGCATTCTTTTAAACACCTGGAAAAACCAAATAACTTCGTCGATGGTGTCTCAGGTAAAAAAACACCACATGCTTCATTCAAAGGCACAGAAAGCACAACTTCGGCAAAAACTAGCGATGATTTCTTTATTATTTTTAGAGGCAGACCTATCTCATCCATTTACAATTTGATTTTTGCCATTTTTCTTTTCAAAACCCCGATTTTATGTCACACACACTTTTTTACAATTCGACAACCTTTAAATCAATACTTCAAATGACAGTGTTGAATATTTCAACATGCTGACAATTCAAGTGCAACTTGCAGCTGAATTGCTACTATGATTGTGTAAAGTACAGAGTAATCAGGCATGCTAAGAGTTCTTGAATGCGCGCTCAGCTGAGTTGCAACTCAATTGGGGCTCAAATTTATCGTCAAGAGACAATAAACTCTACACAGCATTCGTGGTTGAAATCGCAAGAAAATTTTCTCCAAAATACACGTGGGCATCTCTGTTCAAATGCTAATAGGTTGGTTGTGAATCGTGTTTAATCAACTCCTTAATCCGATCGCTTCGCCTCCGATACAAGGCTCCCCTTCTCGCAGCATGGCGACAGCCACGCAAATCCTCAACTCCCTCTTCATTCACACGTATGTGTATCTTGGATTAACCTCACACCTAGATCTCGATGTTAGCGCATCTGTGACTCACGCATCCGGGGTATAAATACTCACGCACAAACCCGACAGGACGAAACCAACGAGGATAAGCTCTGAAGTAAACGGTTGTGTCCCGTCATCTCCGGTCTTCTTGTTCATCGCGGGCATCAGGCAAGCGTAATCGGGCCAGGGATAATTCGGTGGCCCCGGCGTGGTTCAAGACCACACGCTGGGGCCCACAACAGGTTCTATATTCCATGAACTCCATACACATACTGTCTGTATGCCCACGAGTACAAGACAAACCAATGTGGCAGCGCAACTTTGGACATTGCAAGGGCGTCACAAGCCTGAAACATTCGTTTCATATCCACAAGTCGAAAACAGGAACTTGTAAAGTTTAATTCAGATGTTCGGTTACCAAGGCTTGATTTGACGTCATAATGATTGCAGAAGCAAGGGCAGTCCGCATTTTCACAAATGTCATCCACATACTCGCTTGATTACGGGGTGACGAAGATTTAACTCAGCATTTACGAGGCGCTTGTTTCCTCCATGATGCACTTGTGTTTGGTCGAAGTGGTAGCAGAATTTGTTGCGGGCTAAATCTACGTACGTGACGCGCCAATTTGTGCGCCGTCGACGCAACAGACGTCATTGCGAAACGAGCCGGATGCGATTGCTGCGCCAGATCCGACGAGGCATCAATTACGACCTCGCTGACGCACACCGCGCCAACCCTCAAATGCGTCCATGAAGAAACGTTAACACCGGAGCACACTGGAGCAGATTAAGTGAACAACCTTCCATCAGAAAACAATTTGTCCACAGCAATGCCAGTGGCAGTGACTACACTTGTGTCTTAATCAACTCCACGTCAAACTGGCGACATTGATAAATATTTGATGTGCCTATTTCACAAGAATGATGTCTGTTTCGTTGAGAATCTTGCGAAAGCTACCGCATCTGATAACCGGAACGCTAATCGAAACAATTTCCTCTTCCACTTGTGACAAATTTTTTCCGCAGAACTCAAGTTAACACTCGAAATCAATGTCTACACAACTTTTAATCAAACTGTCATTATTTAGTAACCGGTTTCATCCAAGGCAGCACTTTGTAAGCAATATCGTCAATCGAATAAACCACATTTGTTGGTAAAAGTAATGCCGACATCTTGTCGTACACTTGACAAAAGTTCCCGCTACTCACCCCAGCTTAATCGTGCCTGAGTGGCTAACGAGGAAAAAGAGAAGCAGAAATCATTTCAAGCATGCGTCGGAGCATCTCATATCAACTGTCGGATCTGCCAGCTTATTTGTACGAGGCATCAAAGGACACCTCGTTTTGCTGCCCCACATCGACAGAACTGCTTGTGTGCGTATCCTGTCGAGAAATTTCTGCGATGCATGGTAGAGCCAATGCACTGTTCGCACTCTCGACCGAGTCCAATTATTTGTCTCACAAAAATGGACCAATTCATGAACACACACATTGGGGTATCTGTAAATTCTTCAGAAAAATAAAGGAGACAGTTAATCGTGAATTTTAAAGCTAGTGAATCCGTGCCTCAGAGTAAATCACATCCGACATTTGAATTAAGTAAGCATTGACACACTCACAATATCTCCTAACCTCTCGCTTGACTCAACATAACTGAGCTCGTTTCAACAATCTCTGTTTTGATTGGCTGCAATTGACCGACTCGGGGAAGCAGTGCAAAACATTCCAGCCACAGCCTAATCTCAATCAAAACACTGATTGTGAGCTGTGTTCTCGACGGCATTCGTGTAATCGTCACCTTGCACGAAACGCCGACATCTAGCCGATTGCGGTTGGCTTTGCGTGCAGTCGAAATTTGCCCACATAAATCTCCTTGATCTGCATGCTTTCGGAAATGTGAACTCATGCGAACATTCTGGCATAAACAATCGAGATGTAGGTGAATGCAAGCTGCAAATAAATTACAATTTGTCGCATTTGTGGCAGCCAAGACACACAGACAGACACGTTCGCAAACAGGACTGTCTTCGAGACGAAAGGAGAGGGTGTTTGAGTTGAAATTGGACGAAGACGTTAACAAAGATGCTCTTCCAGGCACCCATGTGATCCAATTTGTAATTGGGGTCGAATTGTCAGACTCAAATGTACCCTATATGCAGTGCCTAAGACGCATTGCAGACGAGGCGAAGGGCATGAAGAAAGCGACGTGTCTGACTTGTTCGAGAATTGACGAGTGTGTGCACCTACTTCCAAGGAGCTAACAGACAGTGAACAAAGTGTGTGTCAGTGCAAAGTCATCCACCAGACAAATCCGATGTTCTGGTGATGTGGTGTTGGGTCGAGCGTGTTCTCGCACACCACACATCACCCCACAACTTGTCCCCACGCACGTCTGCACTGACCTCACCAGCAAGTCGTCCGTGCCTTCATTGTCCTGCCAACATTGTCGTACAAAGACGTCCTACCTACATGCCTGCCAATGTCTGACTTGATGTAACATCGCCTTGCCGGTAGTTGTGTGCTCTCAAACACACACCTTCCCCATCGCCACACACATTTGCGTTAAGTTGCTTGTCAACACACACCTGATTCTTGGACGTTCCTACATGGCCGCAGTACTTCCAGAAATAAACCGTTTTTCTAGTGCAAATGACTGCTTTAAATGCGTCCTGTCACTCGATTCGTCTGTTGTAGCAACGTAAATTATTCATGCGTCATGCCAACCTCGCTGAATTGGGTGTTGAAATGAGCTAATCTGCCTTCGTGTTTCGACACTTAGCTCTGCCAAAAACGAAGTGCATTGTCTCTAGGAGACAAAAATATGTCCTGGTCTACACAGGATGTTCTAAACCACCTAGTTCATCATTTTGGCGATTGCTAGTCGTCGAAATGTCCTTCGTGACGTTCCACGTTCAGGACTCCACTAACCAGAATTCACACACGATGTCCAAGGTGCCAACGAGTGCCAACACTGGACAAAATCCCTTGACCCATTACCACAGAGATGAACCAGAATCAAGTACAGAAGAATGCACCGCTACCGTGTCTTGCAAATGACTTCACCGCGACCTACATCAAGTCCCACTCATTTGAGAACCAACAGCTGAAACTTTGCCAACATCACCCATACCTTCCACAATCTGTTCCACGTTCCCAGACAATCACCAACACTGCAAGTTCGACTGCCCAAACACAAATTTCTACCTGGCCATGTTGAAATACCACACACCGACACGAAACAGCCAATTTGCGGAATTGGTTCTGCTCTCTCACCACAACATGTGATGCATAATTCACGGAAGGAATCGTGGTTAATTATGCAGCCGCCGAGTACCTGAGTGCACAGTGGTTTGTTCGCGATTTGCTCACTCCACGTTGTTTCGCCGAACCATCAGACGAGCAATGCATAAGCGCCACTTGCATCTCGTGGGAATTCGCTTCGTCAAACCGATGCGTCACGTGTTTCCGCGTTCATTAGGCGGGTACTTTTAAGACAATGTGTGATTACTTCGTGGGGCGTTTTGTGTGTGAAAACTTTGATTTCCATGTTTACATTCCTGAGGAATTCAACAACAATCCCCTTGATTGCATTCATACCTATGTAGATGCAGATGAAATATTCCACACGATGGAATGCTATCACTGACTCACGATTTGACAGTTAAACTGGTTGCTTTGAGTGGTAGCCATGGATGTCAACTGCAAATATTCGGCGAGATCGTCAATCACTAAAGATGCACTGACAATCTTTTATACGTTACAATGAAGATCGGTTACAGCAAGGAAAAGCCTGTTTTTCTTCACTAACTGACAAGATGATCTTGGTGCCTAAAATGCGAAGTGTCAAAAAACCACGCATAAATCAAGTCAATTTGTGTGTCGAATCGCCTACACCTGAGATGCCTGACTCGACCGAAATGAGGTTGATTTTACACCAAAAATAGCTTAGTGGGTACGTTATCCATCCCTCCCACCATCCCTCTCGGTGACATAAAGGTGCTTCCGTCACAGCTTCAACGACATGACCAATTTTGCCAAACTACATGCTTTGCAACTAATCTGACTGGCCTGCATTAATGGAAACAGATTTGGGTGGCAGAATGAGTATCAAAATCTGATTGGACAGTTAATTTCGGATACTAGAATGCAAATTTACACTAAGCAGCCAACATGTGTAATTACTCCATTTCAAAGATGTCTATTGTCATTCTAAGACCGTGTCCATCATCTGTACATGTCATAACAACCTGGACCGTAGCTGCGATTGCAATTGTCGTAAACACACACACGCACAGAACTAAGTAAGAGAACAGGACACAGCTTCACGCACACTCACACACTCACACACACGCAAACACACCTTCAGTGTACTGGTAAAAGTGCCTCCAGAGGGCCTTGGGCTGCCAGCAGCCACCAATGTCCCACGATCGGATGTACAGCTCCTTGTAGTCCATCGTGTCCACCTGGAAGTGGACGGCCGGCTCGAACGAGATGACCCGCCCGAGGCGTGCCAGAATCGTCTTCTTGCCGCCGTTGTCCAGACCCAACATGAGCACCCTCACCACCGGCGGTTCGAAGAGGTAGGCGTAGAGGAGGCAACAGCAGCACTGCCCCATGCT